CCCAGCGAAGAGTACACCTGCCTAGGCCATGAGCTGCTGGCTTCCTAAGAAGAATGCTGTGGCAGACAGTGTCAGAGGCTTTGCTAAAGTCCAGGTAGATGACATCCACAGCCTTTCCCTCATCCACCAGGCGGGTCACCAGGTCATAGAAGATCAGGTTGGTCAAGCAGGACCTGCCTTTCATGAACCCATGCTGGCTGGGCCTGATCCCCTGGTTGACCTGCACATGCCTGTAGAGTGTACTCGAGATGAACCACTCCACAATCCCTGGTACTGAGGTCAGGCTGACAGGCCTGTAGTTCCCCAGATCCTCCTTCCGGCCCTTCTTGTAGATGGGTGTCACATTGGCAAGCGTCCAGTCATCTGGGACCTCCCCTGTTAACCAGAACTGCTGACAGATGATGGGGAGTGGCTTGGCAAGCTCCTCCACCAGCTCCCTCAGTACTCTGAAAGAATTGTAGAAACTGAAAGCTAATCTCAGTCTGCTTTACCTTCAATGCTACAAACACAGAGCACGTGTCAGCCTTAAACTCATGAAGGGCAGCATGTGCATAAACTAAACCCTTGCACAGTTTTCAAGAAGAAAGATGTACCTAATCTGTTGTATTTGTGTTTCAAAAGCTAACTAGTGAAAGCCATTTAGACAGTATCAGAAAGATGGTGTTACAGGAAAAGGCAAAAAATAAAAAGATTTCTTCAGCCTTGTTTTCACAATATGTCAGGATGGCTTCCCCCCCACCTCCCCTACAAATTTTCTCTGGATACTGACATGTCTACCTCAGAAGCAGCTAGTTACAAACAAAGGGTAGGATTCCTACCTAAAGTATGCATAAAAATAGATCCAGAGGAATTTCACACTCTGCCTATTTTTCTTCCAGAAATATAACCTGGAATTTGAGGCAATAGTCAATAATGGGTGAAATTTCTCAAGCTGTATACTTACAGTCAGTCTGCTCTTTAAAAGGTATTATGCCCTATTTTAAACATAAACAGTATTAAACTGAGTGATGACTTTTAATAGTTGGGAAAGTAGAAGATACCTAGTAAAACTAATATATTTACTTCATCTTGTTTTTCAATAAATAAAATACTAAACTGTATGTTATGTGCAAAAATGTGGATGTATTTAAAAATATGTTTCTGTGAAGACTTTTAAAAAACTTTTGAAGGGAAACCTCTAATCTCTCTTCTCAAGACTAGAAGAAATATTTTTGCTTTGCTGTACTCAGCCATTTAATTAAGCAGTAGGAATAGTCTATGACATAGAAGTGGTAGTTCCTTGAACTTTGTGCATGGTGGTAGGGGGGGAAATGGATAAAATGTCTAGAGTAAATGTATGATGAGAGAACTAGGGGTATTTATTTACGTCCTTGCTTCTTAAAAGATGTTAGGTCTTTGAAGCTTACCAAGCAGCTGGTTGCTTCTCCAAGATATTATGTGACTGCAAAATTACTTTACACTGTTTGCAAAATTGTTCATCCTTCAAAACTTAGGGTAATTCTGTACAGGAAGTAAATAGGACT